TTACAAGAAACGGACCATATTTCATATTATGGATCGTTGTATTCGCCTGGCAGCAGGCCTTGAAATTTCCGACAGAGAACGCGACGCTATCATCGATGCCTACCACTACTGCTGGATTGCCTATCACGGACCCTTCAAAGTTTTATACTCAGATGGAGAAGGCGCCCTGAATAATGAGGCCGCTAAAAGCATGATGGCCAATAAGGGCACGGAACTTCGTATCCGAGCACCGGGCCAACACGCGACTTCAATTGAGTCACGAAACGGCATTCTCAGAGGCGTCCTCCACATGATTGAGGAAGAATTGAATAGACACAACATCCCTGTTGTATTCACTAGAGTATTGGCGGAAGGCATCTTCGTTACTAATGCGTTTACGTTTTATAACGGAGTATCGCCATATCAGGCACACACAGGACGTCAGCCCTCCTTCCTTCCTGATCTCGATACCCTTGACTTTCCCAAGGGACCCGAGACTTCAGGACACGAACGAGAACGTCGTGTAAGGGAAGTCAGCCTCGAAGCCATAACTCAGGCTACTGCTGTAGCCAAGACAAATCGGGCTCTTAGGGCTAAGACGACTCCTGATGGTGCTCGCCTCTACTCATCAGGGGATTTGGTCGACTACCACCGACCTACTGCCACCAAGGACGACCATGGAGGCTGGAACGGCCCATTCCCGGTGATCCGAAACGTGCCTGAAAGAGGACATATTGTTGTCAAGGCAGGATCTCGTGAGGTAATTGTGATGTATCCTGATGCTCGTCACACACTATACATCGAATGTCTCCTCACACGGGAACTTGGCATGGATAATATGGCCATGCAAACCGTCCTTGCTTATGTGGCACACCTCAGCGCAGGGAAACCTGCCAAAGTTTTCGGGTATATCCCCGATTACAAGGGAAACCTTAATCTGTCAGACGACAGCAAGTTTCACCCGCGCGTACACTTAGCACTACAGTATCTCGTACTGAATTACTTCCGAGTAGAACATGTAGTAGCAGTTCGATTGGCTAAGAGTGTGTCAAGCCTACCTGCAGTAAAGTACGCCACCGGGTCTACGCTGATCCACCATGACAACGACATCAGCCCGGCGTTCCACTATTACGAATGCGTGGGCACTGGCTTAAACATTTCTCAGATCACTGGTAGCACTCACTCCAGACTTATTCAATGCTTGACTTCACGTGTCCCTTCCTTAGGATTGCACGACGATTTGGCTAAATATCAGCATCCAAGCAACACGTCTGGAGAACACGAGTCGCCTGGAAACAGGCCTTCTCCAGACACACCAGACGCTTCATCGCCGAGCGAAGGCCGTCTGTCGACAATCTATGAGGAAAATGAGGAACACAATAGTGAAGCTATGATGCTGGAAGAGTGGTACGACGAGCTACGTATGGACCTTCATCCTACGACGATTACCGATGATTATCTTTATTGCGTCCCAACAACTATGCTGCCCGACCAGTGTGTTTTGGTTTCAGCATTTGTGGACGAAGATGATACTATATCATCAGATATGCTCGGAGACGAGCCGAAATCATGTGAGTCCTGTCTAGTCTCTCTTTGTTCAAACACAGCCGACGAGAGCTACTCTCTAGACAGTGATGAATACGGTCCTTACGTTGAACTATGCTTTACATCAGAAATGTCTAAAATAGTGTTGGATCAGACTCAACTTGCACAGCTCGATACCGATATGGTCGCAACGATGAGAGTATATGTATCCTCTGCTGCTAAACGTGCTGTGGTTGTCAAAGAAGATGATCTACTAACCAAAGCCGACATAGCAGCACATCCAAAGGAGGTTAGTGAAGCCTTATATACTGAGCTCAAAATCTGGATTGATAATCGATGCTTTGAGATGTACGATTTATCCAAAGCTTCCAACATCATGACGTCCAGATATGTATACAAGTGGAAGTTCGTAAAGATGGGTACCGAGAACGTTAAAACCATTCGTCTCAGACTGGTCCTTCGTGGATTTATGGATACTGAGGCTTTTGATGTGGAAACATTCTCGGGAACCGCCCGAAGGCAGTCCCAACGACTCCTGGCAAGTGAAGCGGCATGCCATCCAGAGTGGATCTTAGCATCTATGGATATCGATAAGGCGTTCCTCAAGGGTTTGACCTATGAGGAACTTGCCCATGCCACCGGCGAGGAAACTCGCATGGTTTGCTTTACTCTTCCACCAGGAAGCGCTCAGGTACTTCGTGCATTACCCGGCTTCTCATCCTACGACGAAAGTCGACACTGTCTTAGATGCCTTAAACCAGGAACGGGTACTAAGGACGCTCCAAGAGCGTTCTCTCTCAAACTCCGTACGACCACACGAGCTATAGGACTTACACCGACCAGCTACGATCCTGAATTTGAATTCAGCCAAGACCTTCTGACGGCAAAACATGTCGATGATATTAATATGACAGGTCTAGAGAAAAATATAGGCGACTATGTACAACGTGTCGAAAAGGTGTTCGGCAAATGCAAGCTCAACAAGCACACATATACGAACTGCGCCGTTCGCTACACTAAGAATGATCAGGGAGATGTGATCATGGACCAGGACGAGTACATTAAACAACTACGTCCTATCACACACCCAGAACTTACAGGAGCGGCGGCCGACGCCAAAGCCACGAAACTCATCACCGACGTGTTCGTCAGCCTGCGAGGAGCCCTCGCCTATGCCCTTCTTGCCCAAATCTGGCTCATGGTATATGTGGTCTCTCTTCAGAAAATTCAAGAGCCCACCAATTTGCAAGTCAGACGTTTGAATGCTGTGACGCGAAAGCTGATCAGCAGCCCGAAACGTATCACCTTCCCTCGGATGAAGCCGACGAATGAAGTTGACATCCATAGCGATTCGGGGTATCGGAAGCTTACCGGGGAGGAGGATGACGAGACCAAGGGCTACGGCATACGCGGGGCCAACGTACTACGGCGAGGAAACTCGCCTCAAGGCAAGTCCGTCGTTCACCTCTGTGACGGACTATGCAAATCACACCGATTACAGGTGAGGTCCAGTTATGCTGCGGAGGCACTTGCAGCCGCACATAACCTTGATGAGTGTTACCCTACGCTCATTACTCTCCACGAGCTTAAGGCAGGGGCTTTGACTCCACGACAACTACGAGACATGCGTGAAGTTGGAGGCCTTGCTATCAAAGTCTCTCTTACCATAGACGCTGAGTCCGTCTACAAATCTTTATCAAGCAGGGATCTCAAAATACCTACAGAACGGACTCTGCTTGGACATATCAGCTGGATACGTGAGCTCATGGATATAGGTATAGTACATAATGTGCAATGGTGTGATACTAGGGATATGACCGCAGATGGGCATACAAAGGGAAGCATCGATCGGGAGCTGCTTCTGGAAGTGATGTCAGGCACTCAGTCATTTAAGTATGACGTGAAGCAATTTGTTCCCTTTCGGGGTCCCGAGGACAGAGACAAACCCAAGTCTAATCAATTTTAGCCTGTCCTTGTTGCCCTCGCGGTCCAGTCTGCCAGCACGGGCGCCTACTATAAAGGCGCCCCTTTAGCTGCTCGGAAACGAGCCTTATATTTCACGCCTGGCAACGAGCCGGCTTCGTACAACTCAGGCTCTTTGCCTTAATACACATTTGCTTGGTGAGGTATGGCCTAATTTTGGCTCACCTCTAACTAAGCCGATAGCCCTTCATTGTTTGAAGGGGCTGTCCTGTATTTGCGTGAAATACTTTGCGAGGAAACTCGCCTTACAGTCTGGTGTTTGACCAGACTGTACGCACTGTTTTCTTTTCTTTGCAAACAGTCGTGCGCGCGATCTTTGCGTGCGACTATGCTCTCCGTCTCCTCCCCTCCCGACTTTAAGGGTAGCTCTTTGGGAGATGTTACAGTATCGGGGGCATAGCTCGCGCGCCGCTGCCTTGGGCTCAAGGCGCGCGCGCCCTATTTGCCCGGATACCTGATGGTATTCGCTATTTGCATGGACATCTATTTGCCCGGACACTGCTTGTGTTCGCTATGTGCTGGAAAGATCATTACATCGATCTTATCTTATCTTACCCATCCACCCCTCATACTGTACCCTCACAGCAGAGCGATGGATGCTATTTGCCAGGCTATATGCCCTATTTGAGTTACCAGGCTCACTTTCGACTTCTTGGCCGTCGTGGTGGACGTTAGGGCAGTCCTGAGGCCATCTTGGGCCGTCTTGAGGCTGCAGTCGATCCGCATAGTAAGGATGGGCAACCTTTCCAAGGGTACCCTTGCATCCCTGCCTCCTCTGTCCATCCTTGGCCACTTTCGTTGGCCGCGCCCCGCTCGAAGAGCTTCGAAATGGGCGTCCAAGGCCCTTGCATCCTTATCGCGCATCCTTTCTGTACTGGTTGACTGTATCCCGGGTCGTCATGGAGGCACCCCGAGCCACCTTGGCGGCCTCGGTGGCCTCCCAGGCCCGTATCCTGGGAGCCATCTCTTGGGCATCCTGGACGCCCCGGGAGAGTGCCAGGGAGGCGTCGAGGAGCCCGGGGAACCTTGGGAATGAGAGGCTCGGTATCGTTTATCCGGTCCCCATCCCCATCTCCATCCCCTTCGAGGCCCCCACCAAATTGCCACCCCAGTTTGGGATGCACCCCTCGAAGCCCGAAGGGAACGACCCATATCCCCCTTTAGGGGGGTAAATCGGCCAGGGGGGGCCAGGCCACGCCGCTGGGGATGGGGATCGAATAAACGTACTCAGAGAAAGGGGGGGTGCATGGAACAGTTAGAGAAACCCTGCCATTAGCACTTGGCAGTCTACTCCAAAACCCCGGGTCTGGTTCTTTATAAGGCGTCGTTTTTTTGTGTCACTGGGGGGTCCAGTTTGTCAGGGCGCTTTTTTTGGATTGGAGCTTAGGGGGTCCGGTATATTAAGGCGCCCTGTCGAAGAGGGGGATTTGGATTATTTCAGTCGCATTTGGAGGGGGGTCTGGTTTTTTTTGTGGGGGGAGTCGATTAATAAGGGATTTGGAGTACTGCGTCTCAACGTGCCAGGCACGGTGGCGGATCAAGCACAGCGTGAGGCTCTACGCAGAGGTAAAGGAGAAGTGCTTGCTCGATGAGTACTGCGTCTCAACGTGCCAGGCACGGTGGCGGATCAAGCACATCGTGAGGCTCTACGCAGAGGTAAAGGAGAAGTGCTTGCTCGATTTCAGAACGTTCTCCATCGTAGCCATCTTTCTGGTTGGCGTGGGGCTGAGCGGGTACACTTTGTTACAGCTCATTATGATACACACCTGTGAGTCTTCACTCTGGAACCTGACCGGGTGCGTGAGCGAGGACGACGTCTGGCAATACCTGAATTTTTCGTGCCCGTCATAGTGCTTGGCCGCAGGAGCCGCGCGGTGCCTGGGGTGGCCCCCGCCCAAATGGTGGTTGGGCTCGCGTCACCGAATCGCCGGATCTGCAGGGCTGCGGTGCGCGAGTGGTCCTGCAGAGGGGGAAGAGGTACCGATACCGTCACCCTTCCATCGTCTTCGCCTCGGTGGGGCCTCCTGGGAGGCCCTCGTCGCCGCGGCCGGATTCTCCTCGAGATCCTTTTTGGTCAGCACACACCCCAAGAGAGGTCTGGGGAGTAGAGTGAAAACCCATGTCAAAAATTACCCTGTTTGCCTCCAGGGTGCCCTGTGTTTGTTTCTTGGGTTTCGATGGATTTGCCATGGAAAGCGTGCCTATTCCACACCAACAACCAAACGACGTCCTGGGGTTTCAGGGTTGGGTTTCTTGTGGAAGGCTTCTTGTGGTCTGCGGGGAACACACGGCCTGCCGGGCCATGCTCCTCGGCCCCAGTCCCACAGACAGATAATCCATCATTCGCCCGACTAAGATGCTGGTGCATCCGACGCGAACGTCGGATGAGTGTGTTCACCGACAGTTTCAACCAGAGAGTTGTAATTAGCTATCGAAGGAGAAGAAACGGCATGAACATAAACTTTTGGCGGTCCGCGCGGATTTTCTTGGATCCGCGCTGGGCCCCCCCGGCGGCGCTTCCAGCGCCACCCCTGGCGCAGATCCAAGAAATCCGCGCGGAACGCAAACAGTTCGTGTTTTTGTCTTTTTGCGTTGTTTCCAAACTCACGTATGTATTATTCACTGCGTGTCTTAACCAGGCCGAGCGAAGACGGCTCGACGGGTTCCAGAATTATTGTCTCAGACGTATTTGCAGAGTCTCTCCGTCGTACATCAGTCGGGTGTCGAACCGTGCAGTTCTGCAGATCAGCCAACAGACGCCTCTGAGCCATAGTCTTGCGCGTAGACAGATGTTGTACATGGGCCATTTGGCGAGAAGACCAGACGAAGATCCAGTCAGAAGCTCGGTGTTTGAGCCGGGCGGTCTGGTTCTCAAGAGCCTTCTTGGGAAAAGGAGAAGAGGCCGCCCGAGACAGTCTTGGGGGCCCATGGTGCTGAAGAACTGCTTGAATGTTGCCGGCTCCCATGAGCGACTTGCTGATTACTTCCGCCGAGAGGGCGGTGCAGCTCGCAGGTGGGAGCAGGCGGTCAAAGCATGGGCGGCGTGCTGAAGGCATCCGTTTCCGTGCACATTTTCACCCATTGCTCACGCGCTGTGGCCGGCGCAAGGCTTCTGTTCTGTTCTGTTCTGCTGCTTCTAAGCTGTGAATCATCATGTAGTACGTCTGGCAGCACACCTGAGGAAGGGCGGCGCACGGAAAACATGTCGAGATCGGCTGCGCCACAATATCTGGGCTGTGCTTTCCTGACTTCTTGATCGCTTTTCGCTGATTCCGCTAGCTTTAAGTCGGGCATGTCCCTTACAGGGGGAATATTCAAAAGTAGTAACAAAAATAGTTTGGGAACGATTTTTCTAGTATTTTCCGCCAATTTGGCGTATTTTTCTGCGTATTTCTAATTTTTCCTTCAAAATCCGCCTGTAGGGGGACATGTCCGACCTAACGCTAGCTTCTTTGCCTCACTTCTGTCGGCTGGCTTGGCGTGCGCCGCCCGTGCGGAGCGGAGCTGCGGGGGCGGCCGCCGTTTTGCGGAGGCAGTGCTCTGGGCGTGCTTGAGGTGAACCAACTCCTGAGAAGTTGCCGTGTGGCTGTTCGTTGGGACTTGCCCTGGGGGTTGTCTGGGGAAGGGTGGGTTTTGACGGGGCTCGCAGTTTCTCTGCCGGTGCCTTGCAGTTTCTTTGCTGGTGCCTTTTATTGTCTGTGTCGCTCCTGGGTGCCCGCTGTGGGACCGTGCGACGCTGACGGCGACGGCGACGATCGGCCTGCGACGCCGACGGCGACGATCGGATATGGGAGAGGTGCGTGCACATATCGTTCGGAGGTCCGCGCGGATTTTTTGGGATCGGCGCTGGGCCCTCCTCCCTGGCGCGCGGAGCGCGCCAGGGGCTGCGCCGGAGGCGTCGCCGGGGGGTGGTGGCCCAGCGCGGATCCAAGAAATTTGCGCGGAGGTTCGAAAGATATTGTGTGCCGATGATGCTATTTTTCCTGCCTGAGGGCGGCGGTGGCGGAGGAAGGATCCTCCCAGGCGCGCTGGCAGGATTTTGCATCCGCGGGCAGGGTGAGCGGCTACCGGCCTTTCTTGTCGGAGGCTGAGGGTGGACGTTGTGAAACCTGTATCGGCGGGCCGACCGCAAGGCGTCCGTCGTTGGGTGTAGCACGGCCCTCGGTCTCTGTGTGGATCGCAGCGGGACTAGGCCTGGGGGTGGACGTTGCGAAACCTGTATCGGCGGGCCGACCGCAATGCGCCCGTCGTTGGGTGTAGCACGGCCCTCGGTCTCGGTCCTGCTGGCGGCGGCGTCAGCCAGGCGCCTGGGTTGCTATTCCCACGTGGTCTGGCTCCCAGGGATGTGCGTTTTCCGTGAGAGGTGGTGGCATGTGCCACGTAAATCCGTTCGGGCCTTGTGTCCACTCACGGCTGGGGCTGTTTGCGTCAGGCAGACCCCAGTACGCACTGCCAATCGTCCCGGCAGGGTGGCCTGAGGCCCCCAACGCACCATGTCGGGTCGGTTGGGCCGCGAGTCGTCCGGCGCCAAGGGGCAGCTCCCGTACCCTGACCCGCGTGAATTTCTCCTGATGCGTATTTGCGGCGCTGGCCCGGGCAACTTGGGCTGGTGACCCTTATACATTCCTACATTCCTCTCCTCCTCCTCCTCTCCTCCTCCTCCTCCTCCTCCTCCTCCTCCTCCTCCTCCTCCTCCTCCTCCTCCCCCCCCCCCTCCTCCTCCCCTCTCTCCTCCTCGTCCTCCCCCTCCTCCTCCCCCTCCTCCCCCTCCTCCCCCTCCCCCTCCTCCTCTTTCTCTTCCTCCTCCTCCTCCTGTTTTTCCTGCTCCTCCTCCTCCCCACATGTGCATTTCAGTTCCCGGCGCGTATGAGTGAGAGGATCTGAGCCTGTGGGCCTCCACGAAGAGTGCCCGGATGCTATGCCTGTTGCGTCGGGGTGATTTCTTAGGGCGTTGTTGAGGCTGCCGGGGCTCCTGGGAGCCTCTCGGGATGTCTTCGGGGTGTCCAGGGGGCCTTTGGGGGCCCCTCGGGGGCCTCTTGGAGGTCTCTCGGGGCCCTCTTGGGGGCTTTCTGGCAGTGAGGGGAACCATCGTTCAGGAAAACTTGAACGTTCAGTCCGGGTTCCTTCTCTTCGGACCCTCGCTGGGGATCAAGAGGCTTCTCGGGAGGCCTCTCGGGCCGTCCTCGGCATTCTTGGGCCGTCTCGTGGCCCTCCTGGGGGCGTCTTGGCTTGAACTGTGGCAATCTTGGTGGCCGAATGGGCCGTGTGGATCGGTCGGAGGACGGACGAGCAAGAGCGGTTGGGGCCCCATGGAGCTGCATTGGACCATGAGGAGGCCATCTTGAAACCTTTCGGGGGTGCACGGAGGCCATCGTGCAACCTGCCACCCGTGGATCCCGACTCGAGTGACCTCTTCGGGCTCCCTTGGGCTCCCTCGGAGCGCTCCTTTCGGATGCAACTCCTGGGAGGTCAAATTCCGATTATGTCCTGGTCCGAAATCCGGCTTGATCCAGCTTGATCCCGCTTAATCCGGCTCAATCCCGCTTGATCCCGCTGAATCCGGCTTGATCCTGCCTCTTTCGAGGCCCACTCCGGCGTAACAGCCCCCCACTGGGGCTCAATCCTCCTTAATCCTTCCGACGAACACCTCCCAGTCGTTGCCTCCTAACGATCATCGTGTGCGTCACTCCAACATACTTATACGATATGTGCGTCGCCTCCCCAGGGGCGACGCGCGCACCGAGAAATCTTACAGTATATGCGTCGTGGCGTGCGCTTTCTGGCCACGCCGCTCGGGAAACGATATACTACAATATTGGTATACTATATGTTCGGGTCGGACGCGCACCTCCAAGGAGGACATATAGTATTAGTATGTCTCTGTGCGTCCCATGTAACCTGCCACCTGTGGATCCCGACTCGAGCGACCTCGTCGGGCTCCCCCCGGGCTCCCTCGCAGCGCCCCTCGGGGCCCCGAAGGCTCCGCCCCCGGGAATTTTCCGGCACCTGGGAGGCCCACCGCCCGGGGACCACCCAGGTTTTTTTTTTTTGGTTCGGATTGAGTCAGCCACGCGAAAAGGGGGGGCGGGGGAGGAGGGAGGGCTCCTTAGAAGCACCCCTGCTCCTTAGACGGCGCGGGCCTTAGCTACAGATGTGAGGCTGGCGCCTTCGAAGAAGCAGCCTGCTTCTAAGAAGCCCCCCCCCCCTCCCCCCACCCCCTTGTGCACGCCGCCAATTGAGACCCCCCAGGGGGCCGCCGCGCGCGCGCGCGCGAGTTTCGACAGTCCAATCTTGCTACCGGAGATTCTTGCACTGGGGCAGTGCCCTTCTGGCCTCTTCGAGGCGTGTGCCAGGTCGGACGCTGAGGAGGCGGGAGCGGGAGAGCTGCAGTGCACAGCTCTCATTGACACTGCATGTGCTCAAGTATCGAGGTCGCCTCCAGCGAGTCTCCGCCGCCTCCTGCTCTTTGGGAAACCGCCCGTGTGGTGAAGCGTGGGCCGAACGTCCAGCCGTGCTGCCGGGCTGCGGGTCACCCCCGTCGTTGGGGCAACCGCCAGGAAGGGGCCCCAGGACACGCAACTAAAAACGCACAAACCCCAAGATTCCCCATCTTTCCTATATTTTCTTGGTTTTTCGTCTTCCCCCCCACTTCCCATATTTTTCCACATTTTCCGGGGAATCGACGATTAGTTGTGTCTGCGTAGTTTTCCCCTCCTGACACTAGTGGAACACTGGGGAAGAGCCCTGTCGGGCCGTCTTTTGGCGCCTCTGGGGTCTTCTATGACGCTCGCAATATTGGAAGGGATATAAGCAAACAGTAGTTGAACATCATTATCCCAGTGCGACCCTACCTAGGAGTTGGAGCCCCCAGGAAAGCAGCATTAGTAGTAACCTTAAAGCTAAACTAAAGCTAAGCTAAAACTAAGCTAAATCTAAGCTAGAACTAAGCTAACGCTAAACTAAAGCTAAGCTAACACTAAGGTAATTCTAAGAAAAAAACTAAGCTAAAGCTAAGCTAAAGCTAAGCTAACGCTAAGTTAACACTAATGCAAAGCTAAGGTACAACTAAGCTAATGCTGAGCTAAAGCTAAGGCAAAGCTAAGGCAACGCTAAGGCAACTCTAAGCTACAGCTAAGCTATAGCTAAGCTAACGCTAAGCTAACGCTAAGCCAATTCTAAGCTAAAGCTAAGCTAAAGCTAAGCTAACGCTAAACTAAAGCTATGCTGCGCTATGTTATGCTATGCTATGCTATGCTGAGCTATGCTATGCTATGCTATGCTATGCTATGCTTGGCTATGCTATGCTATGTTTTGCTGTGCTAATGCTGCGCCGCGCTATGCTGCGCTAAACTAAGCTAAGGTAAGCTAATATATGCTAAGCTAACCAAAGCTAAGCTAGGCTAGGCTAGGCTAAGCTAAGCTAAGCCAAGCTAAGCCAAGCTAAGCTAAACTAAGCTAAGCTAAGCACAGCTAAGCTAAGCTAATCTAAGATGATATACGTTAAACAAAGCTAAGCTAAGCGAAGCTAAGCTAAGCTAGGCTAGGCTAGGCTAGGCAACGCTAAACTGAGCTAAGCCAAGCAAAGCTAATATGAGATAAGCTAAGCTAAGCTAAGCTTAGCTAAGCTAAGCTAAGCTGGGTGGACCCAGGGGGCGCAACTGGGGGAACCGCGGGGCGGGGACTGGGGGAACCGCCCGGGGCGGCCTACACTGCCCGGCCCCTTTAAGCAAACAAAGGAAGAACCCTCTAGGCAGGGCCCAGGTAGAGAATTAAGGATAGTTTTTTGATCTGGCGGCCCTCCTGGGAGAACTCTTGGAGCCTTTTTGAGGCGTGTTGTGGGCCTTGAGCTACCCTGAGGTCATCTTGTAGCGTATTGGAGCCATCTGGGATGGTTGCTGTCAGGGCTCGTGCTGGGAACTCGTCCTCCTGCTCATGCTGGACATCAGTACGGTAGGTTCGCGTCGTTCCGACCGGCGGCGACCCCGCCGCCAGCGTTCAACGTCGAACGTTGCCAGCGACTCAGAATCGGTCGATGTTGAACGATCCGACGTCTTGCAAGCGGCCGATCGTTCGAGGTCGAACGATCCCCGCTGTGCCAGGAGCCAACGCCGAGGTCGGCAGGGCGAAGAGGAGCGAGGTTCGAGGAGGTTATCCTGGACTCTCGGTGGCCTCCAGGGGCCTCTTGGGCAGCGCTCTCGTCTCAGCGACCTGTGCTCCCCCTTGGAGGTATGTGGCTGGAGCGTGCCCTGGGAGCTGTCGGGGTATATGGACTCTGAGCCAGTCCCGTCTTTGGGAGGACCGTTTCGGGCCCCCCGGGCAAGGGCCGATGCACAATCTGGACGATGGGGAGGTCGGGGGAAGCGTGCTGCGGACAGCTCTAAGCGCCGTGATGTGCAAGCTCCGCAAACGAGCAAGGTGTCTCAAGTCAGGGCTGGACCTAAACGGTGTTTTGGCAATTTCGTGGGCCGTTTTCGTTTCGACTTCGTTTGGCGGTGGAGGTGGATTGAAGACAAAACGAGGGACAACGAGAACATAACGAAAACGAAAACACCGTTTAGGTTCAGCCCTGTCTGAAAGTCACTCGTGACATGCGTGTGACTCACGCCGTCCATCGAACCTCCC